GGGGGGGGGGGGGGGGGGGAATTGGCACATAAATATGTAAATGAACACCATATACTTATTTTTGTCAAGACACTTAACCAAAAGGACATTATTAATGATGAAAAGTATGTAACGATTAAGTAACACAAGATACATGAAGGGGAACGACTGATATCTAACACCCGAAATAGCAGCAAGTCACAAGTGTATGACGGCTACCTGATACGAAGGTCTTCATCAGAAGTGCCCTCACGAACTGTATTTCAGCTTGATGCAAGCTAACAAACTTGGACTGCGAGGGCAGGAATAATGCAAGGTTAAATGACAATGCAAAATTAGCTGCGTGCGAGTTGCACCTTAAATAGATAATTAGCTTAAGCAAATTAAAGAGCCAGCCAGGTTGTGGATACTGGATACTGATATAAGATCCAAAACCCAACTAATATATCGAACTGCTACAGACCAGGGTGTAGATGACTTAAGATCTATGTGAAGTAAAAATAACTAGAAAATGGAATCCAACCCTTCGATCAGAAGGCATCGGATGACATCACACCTCATCAACCAAACATGAATCAAGAGTTATGCCTTCTTCTAACGTATAACTCGGAGACACAAGATCCCTGCCCTTTGCTCCCCAACCCCCACGAGAAGAAGGGAAAGAAACCAACGAGAGCCAAAACAGTAAGAAAGTAAAAAGCAAGAAAATAAAAATAAAAAAGGGAAATAGGAAGATCAAGTCTATAATTACCATTTGAGCATAAAAAAATCCAACTACTTGGTCCAGTCTGGCCTGATGCTTCAAGAGGAAAGGACGAAGATGATTCATATAAATTTGCCTTGCCCCCTGTCAGTAGCAAACAGAAGTTCAAACCATTTAGATACTCACAATGTTCAGCAATTAAATTGTTCTGCCAGATCTGGAATTCATGGATGAAATGCTGAAATGCATCCATAATTTGTGTAACATCAACATTGACCAGAGAAATCAGAAAGGTAAAACAAGAAAAGAGGCACTAAGTTCTGAATAAAGGTTTAAAGGGAGGAGACTGAGATTTAACAGTAGTTGTAAGACAAGCGACCACAAGAGTTTACTCTAACAGAGTGAGAATGCACCAGCCTTCCTGACAGAGAGAGGGTAAGAGGAACTCCACTACATATACAGAAGATCAATGCAGTACAATTGTCTAAAGAACTTTGCACGTCAAATAAAGACATATTGAGAACACATCTGGTTGTACAGGAGAAATATCCTGAACGATCCTATAATTATGCACGATCCCTTAAACAGGAGAACTTAAGAAAACAAAATTAGAGCCAGAGGAGGATGAATATAAAACAACACAAGCAATAAAAAGAGAAGAACAATTTCTTTAGCTTACATCAGTAGTAGGAAGTTGAAGCCAAACAAGAAATGCAAACTTCATGTGGTAATACAATGGAAACCTGACAAAATTGGAACGAGAAAAACATAAGCAGACTAAATTAGCAGAAGCATTAAAATGGTTTAGAAGTACAATGAGTGGAACAAGAGCTATACCAGTAGAGAATCTTATCAGTCAATAACTCAACAATACTGAAAGACCCATAAGCTGCAAGCAACAGAAACTTCTTTCAGTTCTAAGAAGAAAGAATGTCCAAGAAAATGCAACAAAATTATCCCGTAACCCTAGGGTACATGAAGAGCAACTATCAAAGAGAGACTGAACATTATTATAGGAACATACAGTCTGAGCAGGAATGCTATGCTGATCCACATAAAAGTGAATCCCAATAAATGCCCCACTGAAAGCATATATACCTACCATGTATTAGTATACTGTAGTCTCTCAACTTATTCCCAAATTCAGACATCTCTTGTTCCTCAGTATCATTGCAATCATAATCGTTTTTTATGTGGTTTATAGGTAAAATTCAATAGTTTCTTTAAAATAGTAATAGTAATTACTCATGACTTGCAACGCAAATCTTCTTTTTATAAGAAAGATACGTGCAACACAAAATCAATTCTAATGTTCTACAGGCAACTATATTAAGATGCTTAAATATGCCTTCTCCCGGGGTCTCTCCAGAAAAACATATTTTATGTTGAATTGATGCTACCGTTTTTTTCAGCCTGCATCCAAATTCAACAACTTCTGCACTAGAAGTATTATATCAATTAACGAGGGGCAATATGTAATGGTTTTGTCTAGAAAGTTGAAATACTGCTTACCACAAAATTAAATAGCGTATTAAGGGATTTAAAATCAACGGAGAAAAGCATTAAGAAAAATAAGCAGTACAAACCTGCCCAATACAGAAGCCACTTTTTCTGCTCATTTTCATCTCTTCCCTCAATTGCCTTAAATGTGGAATAAACAGGTAAAACAACCCCCACAGAACAGCTGTAGATGTCACATAATAAAATACATCATCAATAACAGAAGCAATCTTCTCTAATCTTCCCAAATAAGAATCATATTTTTACCAGAAACACAATTTTCATAAATCATAAGCAATAATTCTAGTGGATAAAATTAAATAGCAGCTCACCATGCTGTCCGCACAACTATATTAGAACCCAGTGGAGAAAGAAGCAGTCTCAATCCAACCTGCATTGAATGGAATTTGCATTCATATAATTGATACATTCTAAGAAATGGGAGAAAGCACCAAAAAAAATTCAATTTCTTTTGCTGAAGTAAGAGCAGCAATAAGAATAGGGTATAAGTGAGAAGTCGCAGCAATTTATAAACTAAGTAAAACTATGAAGGCACATATATCCTTGTCACAAAGCCAATGTACAACAAGAATAGAGTGTAGATTCCACTCAAATAATCCATCCTTGACTTAGAGAACTAAATTACAATTCAATCAACTAAGTGCAAAGAGATGCCAAAGATTAAAATGCAAATATGTGCCTACAGTTTAGACAGGAAATGATGTTACAATGATTTCAGAAAACACACTTCGACACAAAGTCCTTGGACGTGTTAATGTTTAAAAAGAAGTATAATGTTCCCTTAACCATCTCATTACAAAAAAAAATCCCTAAATGAACAAGAACAGAATAAAACCCTTCCCTAGCTCATGGTGACCTATCGATCATTCTAACCCCCTATTCATTGTTAGGTAATCCACCTCTGATGAGACACTTGAGACAAAACATTAGTTCTTTATGATTTAACCAAACTGTATTTCAGTTCTAAAATCGAGGAGAATATAAAACAACTACGCAAGCTTTTTCTCTGCTCCTTTTTTGTTTGGAAAAAATCGACACCATCTTATTTAATAAGGAATCGTCTACGCAATGTGTGTTTCACAAAATAAATCTAGCTCCAAGCTTAGATAAAGGATAAGTGTTGTTGTAGGCTAATGACCAACATAAAAATAGTCTAACTATGAAGTATCCTATGAATACTAAATTGGACTCGAATAGTGCCAAATGAATACCTCATATAGCTGACCGTAACTAATTTGGAACTGAAGCATAGTTGGTTGATAGATTGATTGATTACAGGAATTGTCTGCACTAGTTTATTATACAGCAGCATATATAATTGAAAGCTGATCATCTTCCTACACTGTCTAGTTGAAT